CTTACAAAAAGAGGAAAATGGGCTTCTTCTATCTTTTTTGTTGATGTTGTTATGTCCTTTTGATGCCAGAAATTGCTGTCTTTCTACAAAATGAAAGCATCATTTTGTAGAAAGAACATAGGATTCTGAATCAGGCAATCCTGAATATGACCCTCATCTCTACCATCTACTAAAAGCGTGACTCTGGGAAAGTTACTCGACTATACGGAGCCTCACTTTTCCCACCTGCAAAAGGCTGAGACTAACACAGAGGTGTACTGTTTGGGAGTTCAGTGGTTCTGGCTCCCTTTCTGCCATATCTTAAAATAAAAAGTAAGTAGCAGAGGTCAGTACATGGTTGACGTCCTTATGCATCATTTAGGGTTTTCACACCAAAAAGAAGAGTGACGAAGGAAGCTCCACCGTGTCTTAGTGTGCTGTTGCTGTGGTTTTAAAAAGTGCTATTGGAAAATGTAACAGGGCTCCAGCAAAATAGTCCATCACCTGTCAAATCGTAAAAGAAGAAAATATTTTCTTATTATCATTTTGAATTAAAAACAAAGGCCCCACAGTATTTATCAATCATGCTGGCTCATCCTGTCTCTCTCACCAGGTAACCAAAGTTGCACTGAAGCATCTAAAGGGCTTGTCCTCAGGTACCTTTGGTGGCCAAGGATTTAAACTCTCAGACACCTAGAGGAAAAATTGGACTTGGGGCCAATGGGAGATAAATGGAAATGTGGGAGCAATTTTCTGTTTGCAAAGCCCATTAGGAATTATAATTTAAACAAGGTAGTATCTCGCCAGTTCTGGAGACAGGATTCACCCCTCTCTGAACTACCAGGTGACACTTAGGGATATTTTGACAAACACCTCTGTGTTGTAAACACTGACCTATGAGGAACCATAAAGTGGGTCTTCACATTGGAACCACCCCTCAGATGGGTGGCTCAGTCCAGAGAAGTCATGTGCTTAACTAAAATTTTGGTGACATTTTGGCTCAGCCTATCACAAGAAACACTTCTCGACTTCAATCTTGGGGGAAAATATTTCTAAAATATTTGAACCCACATTTCTGATCTAGTAAGGAGTTTTCACTGAGTGAAACAGAATCTTCCTTTAAGAGACTGTAGACATCCATCTGGGCATGGGTCCTTGCTGTCCAGGAGGGAGAACAAAGAGGTGTGGGCTGCCTCTTTGCTGGCCCTCCGAAAAGTCGAAAAGTTGTGTGCTGTTGGCTTACTTGCTTATTTACTTTATGAGATTCCTGAAGTGAGTATGCTTTCGTGCATGTCTTTGCCTTCCAACTGGAGTGAAAGATATGAATCTAACTACTTCCTTCAAAGTGCAATCCGGGCCATTGTATATTAATCAAGGTACCATTTTATCTTGGAGATTCAAAGAAAATGTGAGAAACAAACAACTCTGGTCTAGAGATTTAAATATGTGGCAGAATTTACTACGGATTGACTGTAGACCAGGTCAAGCACTTTCCATGCACTATATCATTAAATCTTTCCAACAAACAATTAGCTGTGTACTTTATTATCTCCATTCTACAGGTGGGAAAACTGAGACTTGAGGAGGTTAAATAATTTCTTTGGTTACTTGAAAATGCCTGAACTTGATCTTAAACTCAGTCCTGACCAGTTGCAGAGGCCGTGTGACATTCTGCCACCTGGCTGATCCCCTCGTGCACCTGATTTGATGTGGTGCCTATCACACGGTATTATTTACTGGTTTTACAAATATGTATTGGGATCACTTATCAAGTTCCCCACATGGTGCTAGATGCTGGGGATACAGTGATGAGTGGGGCAGACCTGGTTTATGCCTCAGTGAGACCTACAGTAAAGGGACACCATATGAAATGTTTGGGGATTGAATAAATGATTGACTGAATGAATGAACTGAGCAAATATAAGTCAATCCCATTGCTCATTCTTGTACAGAGTCCAGTGAGGTTTAGCCTCTGACATTTCCCTAGGGTTTGGTAATCTTTTACCAATAAGTGGGCAATGAAGCCCTTGGAAACAGAGATGACTCTGTAGTCACATGCTATGTATAAGCAGATGTTACATGCCCAAATTCCTGAATTATAGAGAGAAAAGGGCGCTCTTTGAATGTAAATGAATGTAAGTTCAACAAGCAAACAAAAAATTAAAATTAAATAAAAGGAACAACCAACAGTTACTGCCCTCTTCTCCCTAGGGTTCAAAGTGAATGAGTGCGACAATTTAAAGGCCCAAGGTATTCTAATAACTAGAATGAGTGGAATTCCTACATTTTCTAATTTTAAAATCAGAATGGGGGGAGCTTAGAGACTATATAATTCAGCTTCTTTATTTTTCAAATTAAGAAAGTTTCGTCAAAGAGTTTCAGTGACCACTGCAAACCCACCTGATGTTCTGGACATTAAAGCCACCAAGAGAAATTTACTTTTCAGAGGTTTTTTTAAAAATTTAATTTTTTTCAGACGTATTTTTAAACTTGGCAGTTCACTCTAAAAGCTGTCCAAGCCTCAGTCTCCTCTTATTTAATGAACTGAAATTTTTATAAAATGAGTCTGGTTATCAGAGGTTGCTGAGTTTTTAACAGCAAACCATTTTTAAACAACTTCTCTCCTGGGTAGTAATGATTTCATTAATGAAATGCATTTCATCATTCACACCATGGTCACACTGTGACTTAATAAAGAACCCTTGAAAGAACGTTCGTTATGGGATTTGCATGTCATTTGTACAGGCAGACGCTGGACTCCTGGGTAACTCGTTGAGTCAGGCAGTCCCTCAGTCAGCTCCTCACTGGACCTGCACTCACTAGAGATTCACAAGACCATCTGTGACTCAGCTAAGGACTGTGGACTCCCAAAATAGTTAGAAAAAATGGATCGATTAGAGGAGGGTCATACCAACCATATACAGGATTGAGGAGTGTTCCCCAAGATCCTTTATAGTTTTTAGAAGACATAGAGGTGCTGCTTCCTTCCTACTATGCTATTGTTGGATTCTTGTCAAAGACAAGCTCATTCATTCATTCAACATACATTTCAGGAGTTCTTCCTTTGTAGAAGAAAGGATTATTCAAAGAGTGTTAAATAAATTTTCATACTGCAAATTTAATTTCAAATGCACTGCAGACATTTGCTCTGCACAGGGGCCCTGCATAAATCCTGAACTCGAAAATCAAAGAGCTCTGTGCTGATATCCATCCATTATTTACCCCAGGAGATATTGGATTTTGAGGGGGCGGGGATGAGACACTGAGCCTAAATTGAACAAATGAATTTTTTAAAATAATGTGACCAGTTCAAACAGAAAAAGACATCTGGAGTGATTTTTTTAGTGCCAAAAGAGGAATCAAATATAAGAGCAGACACTATTTATTACCTAAATGCAAGGCTCAGAAAGGGAAGCAGGCCACCAAATAGTGTATGAGGCTTCCACAGTTACATCGGCACAGATGCCCTGACTTTTTTCTCCTAGGCAACAGCACTCATCCCTTCCTAGTAAAGTCTATTTGAACATGCTTAAGATGCATATGCTATGCAAACACACAATATGGAATAGAGGAATCTGTGGTCAGAGGGTGTAGATGAGGGTTGAATTGGGTGTAGAAATTCAACATAAAATACAGAGAATTGGTGTGTAAGATCTTATGAAGCTTCAGATTTAGAAAAGCCTGTGTCAGTCTGCATAACCCCTGTCCTTGGTATCATAAATTTCTTCTGAATGGTTCCATCCAGAAGTCCTAGGAGATCTGGGAACATAAATTTCTAAAGATAGAGTTCTGGTTCAAACACTTACTAAGCTCCTAGTATGTGCCAGGCTCTTTGCTGGGTACCACCATGGTTGTTTTGTGAGTCTGGTGTTTATGAACCATGGCAACCACAAGCATCATAGACACGTGACAGTGTCTGCACTTTGGTCTCTGGTGTGAGTGTATAACACCATTAGATATTTCAATACTGGCATCAGTCAGCTAGTGTCTCTCATGGCATCTCTAATAAGGAGCTTGGCAGTGGTGGTAGAAAAGAGAATAAGAAGCTGACAATAAAAGCAAGCACGTGGTCTTGTGTTTGCCCAACGTCTGACTTAGCTGTGGCTGCTGCTTTCATTGAATAGAAGTCTACTGAGTACATTCTTGAGGGTCCTGGGTCACTGACACACCCCCTCATGTACGAGTGAGGGGAAAAAAACTGAAGGAGGACCAGGGCTGTGGGAGGGGAGTGACAGAAGCATAGGTTCCAGAGTAATAAAAATACAGGGTCAAGTCTCAGCTCTGTTGCCCACAGGCTGCTTGATTTGGGGCAAGTTAAAGTAACCTCCTTGGGTCTTAGTTTCCTAATCTAAAAATTGGAACAATAACTGTGCCTTCAACTTTGGATCACTGTGAGAATGAGACAGTGTATAAAAGGCCTAATGCAAGGTCTTACACTTGATAAGAGTTCAGTTAGTAGTAGCTCCAGGATGCCTATCCCACTAAATATCTACATCTTAAAAAGCAGAAGCTTCCTGGGATATGGATGTTATGCTTCTCAGAGATAGGATGACTGTGTGGATAATAAATGCTACCCACTAAAAAAGAAGGCATTGAGATACCCAGTGTCCTGGATTCTGTCTAGATTCCCTGAGGGCTCACCAGGGCAGATGATGGATGATGGAGGGGCTGCAGTGTCAGTGGGACCAAACAAGCATACAGATCCTCCTCCCCAGGAAATAGTCCCACCATGTCCCCTTGCCCACCCATCCTGCCCCACACAGCAAGGTAGGTCTTGACCTGGTCCTTGGTAAACTGAATCCCAGGAAGAGATACCCATAATGTATAGATAGGCAGAATGTCAGATAGATAGATAAAGAGAAAAAGAGACAGAAGGAGAAGTGAAGAGAGAGATTTTGAGAGACAGATGAAGAAAGAGAGAAATTAGAAAGACAGAAAAGAGAGCACAACAAAGTTAGAAGGAGAGATCTGAAAAGAACAGAAAAGTAGAGGATAGAGAGGAGAAACAAAGTGGCACTTACCAACAGCCTTCAAGGAGGCATACTTGTTGAGCTCTTTGCCAGGAGGTTGCTGTTCATAGGGGTTGGAGATCTGGCCCAGGTTGGGGTATGAATGTGGATGGCCCATCTGCTGCAGCAAAGGGGAGGTGGGCACTGCATTGTTCATCTGGGTAGAGTCTGGAAATGAAGAGACAGAGGGAGTGGTCACAGGCAGTGCAGACCCTTCTGCCCATCCCCACCATATTGCCACAGTCATTGAGACCAAAACTCAAGACCCTTTGGAGCTGTGAGAGAAAGAACAGCAGAGGATATGCAGACACCTTAGGATTAATCATTGTAGGGACTATTTGTTATCAAAACAATATATGAATAAAAAGGTAAGCAACTTCAGTAATAGCCAAGGAGATGCAAGTCAGGACAAACATGAGAATCTATTCCTTTGCCAAGAGATTGGCAAAAATTAAAAAGATTGAAAGACACTGACACTGGCAAAGATGTTGGGCAGCCCCATAAACTGATGGTGGATGTGTGATTTGCTGTATTTGAAGAAGGGAACCTGGGAGTAGGTGTTGAAATTTAAAGTGCATGTGTATGTTGACCAAATAATACCATTCTAGGGACTGAGGGTTCAGAAATATAAGCGCATAGCATAAGAATATTTGTTCAGAAATGTTCTGTGCACATTGTTTGTAAAGTGAAAAAAAAAACACACAGAGAGCCCTGGCTGATACAGCTCAGTGGGTTGAGCGCAGGCCTGTGAACCAAGGCATCGCCAGTTCGATTCCCAGTCAGGGCACATGCCTGGGTTGCAGGCCATATCCCCAGTATGGGGTGTGCTAGAGGCAACCACACATTGATGTTTTGTTCCCTCTCTTTTTCCCTCCCTTCCCCATCTCTCTAAAATAAATAAATAAATCTTTAAAAAAACACAGAGAAATAATCTGCACTCTTATTAGTATGGGAATTTTTTTCATTTTAATATCTATTGATTTTATTTTACTACTTTTGATCTTGTTCATTCTCTTATTCTCCTTCACTGTTTTGTTTTTAAATTATATAATAATTGATATAGACCAAATATACATACATGTAAGTTATTATATGTAAGTACACATATATGTAAGTTATTAACCCACTGCCCAACTTAGGAACTAGAACATAATCCATGCTCACAAAAATCTTAAATAAATTATTGTATATTCACATTGTACATATAGCATATACATGCATGATTCATTATTAGAATATCATTCATTCATTAGAAGAAATGAGTTGAAGATCTGTTAACTCTATTCATGTCAAATTGGATAGTTTCTTATGGTTTTATATTGTTAAAAGGAAGAAAGAAAATGTCAAAGCAAAGAAAATAGTATAGCATTTTGGTTAAATAAAAGAAAATCTATGCGTATTTTTGTGTGCTATGGTTTGCAAAGACAGAAAACATATGTCAAGACACAAAACCTGAATACTGGCTACTTTTGGAGAATGAGATTTGTGGAGAAAGAGTTTCAAGAAGGTTTCTCTGAGGAAGTGTTCTTTGAGTTGAGATCAAGTGATATGGATGTCAGTTAAGTGTGGTGGAAGGTAGAAGGTGCTGGGGAGGCTATTGCAGGCAGAGGAAACAGCATGGACAGGATCCATGAGGAGCTGGAGAAAACACTTCATTCTCAGAGACTGAAAAAACACTCCCTGACGTCTAGCCAGGCATGGCCGGAGGGGAGAATGTGAGGGAGATAGGACAAGCTGAGGCTGGAGAGTCTGGCAGGCCTCAGTAGACCCTGGTAAGGGTTTCCATCTTCACCCTGATAGCAAGAGGATAGAGGCAGGAGTTAAATGAGAGATGGGGGTCAAGGTGACATAATCACGGCTCTATTTCAGGCAGGAAATGTGAGTTCTTTCCAACTTCGTGAAGCGCATGTGCAAATCCTAATAAACTTGGCACTACCTGCTGGTGGTGCCTTGAGAGATTTCCAGCACATGTACCCATTTCTCAGTTTCTGGGAACAGCTCATAGCTGCTCCTAGTATCCAGAGAATCACTCTCTAGGCTGATGGGAGCCACCACCCAAGGCTTAGTGTGCTTAATGCACCTCACCCTCAGCACCTGGGGTGGTTAGCAGCAAATGGCTGGCTGACACTAAGGTATGAAGACCAGCCCTTTGCCTCAAGGTGGATATGAATTGTGGAGCAATGGATATCACAGAGCTCCCAAGGATTGGGACAAGTGTAGAGCAGGAGTTGGCAACTTTTTCTGTAAATGGCCAGATTGTAAATAGTGTAGGCTTTGCCATCCAGTTACAACAGTCTCTGTTGTAACTACTCAACTCTGCCCTTGTAGTAAGAAAGCAGCAGAATAAACATTATGTAAATGATGGGTGTGGCTGTATGCCAATAAAACTTAATTTAGAAACTTAGGTGGCGGTTGGCTTTGGTTCAAGGGCTATAGTTTGACAGCCTCAATCTTGACTTTATCTGACACTGAAGTCCTTAAGTGTGGCTCCTTTATCTTTAACGTTTTTGTTTTCCTCACAACCTTAGAGGTGTGCATGTATGTGTTTGTGTATTTTACCTGAAGGGCACTCCCTCAAGTCTCTTGCCCTGAACCTCTCTCTTAAGTGCTGCTTCTAAACAATTGAACCCATGACATGCATGGATTAGCTTGGATTTAGAAACCAATAAACATAAATGAAAAAAAGTAGGGATTCCACAGCTGAGGCACAGAGATAAGGAGAGTATTTTTATCACTGCACATGCATGGGCCCTCACACAAGACCAACTGTCTAATGGGAAGGTCATCAAACATAAGCAAAGCACTCAGCCTGTGGCCGGCATCTCAGAAGGCAGGCATAGCATTCTCCCACAATAGCTTTTTGGCTAAGACTCAGCTGGGGCATGGGAGCCTGAAGATTAATGAAGTAATGGTGGAAAAGGAATTGTATAAGGCACAGCTTTCACTGTACCAGGGACCCCAGGATCCTGTGACATTTCCTTTCCAGAGCAACCTGCCTGGGAGGTCTGTCTGCTTCCTCTGGCCATGTCAGGCCAGACATATTTTGTGTCCAAATGTTGGTCCATTTGGAAGTGGCTTACTGTAACTTCTCGTTGTTTTCTGTCCTGTGCTTTTTCTCATGATATACATTTTCTAGTGGACAGCTACTGTTTTTGTGTGTTCAGAACCACCACTTCCTTTGGCCCACTGCTTCATCCCCATCTGAGTCATGAGACAAGCTGCCAATCATGGTAACTGCCTTAGTTTGGGTTTCCCCAGAAGTCACTGAGATAAGGACTCAAGTGCAAGCAAGCATAAATGGAAGTTAATCTCAGGAAATACTGGTGAAGGGGTAGGGGAAGGGAAATGGGGTAGAAAAAGCAGCAGATAAGGAGTGCAATGCCAACCAAGAGGCGACTGTGGGGAACTGGAGTTTAATCCCACTCTGAATTCTGGTATGTTGGTGTGGAATGCATGTCTCAGAATTCTGTCACTGCAGGGCAAAGGAGCACCTTAGTATTTATACTCTAACTCCTATTAATCATTGGTTGAGGGCTGGGAGAGACTAACTCCTCAGCACTTGCAACCTGCCATGGTCATGGGCAAAGTGAGCTAGCAGTTGGAAATCAGGGCTGTACCTCACCCTTTTGGCCACAGAAGTGAGCACGTGACCCAAACCAGACCAATCACAATTCCTCCTTCTTCTCAGTGATTGAGCCAGAGTGAGTGCATGATCTACGCTGGGCCAGAGTTCTTCCCTGAATTTTTCCGTTTGGAACCTTTGATAACTAGGAGCTAGGAGGCCATGAAGTCAAGTGAGTTTGAATCTACCACATGGAAAAAAACTTTTTACACTGTGAAGAAATAGGGGCAATGGAAGAGAAGTACAGTAGACAAGGAAGCCCCTTTCTAAATAAGCTGGTATGCTTTGGGATTACTGTCACTTGCAAGGTAGACTTCTGACCAGTGTGATTGTTACCTGGAACTGATCAGAAGGGAGGCCACCCATGGGGCTATAAGGCAAGGCCAGAGGATTGTGTCAGATGGAAAAGGCATTATCCCTGGATTTTCTACAGTGCTTCAGTAGATACTTCAAACAGCAAATTTCTTCAGCGGTGCATAAAGAATGCTCAAGGATATTCATAAGCTCATTAACTAATGTCTTAATGATAGGTCTCCCCCTTTTTTTGGAAATAGATCCCAAAGACTAGCTTGTCTAGTTACAGAGTGGACACCTCCCCAGCCCATTAGCCAGTGGGAGTTCTTTCTCCCATCTCTTTGCTCCATCGGTCCCAGACCCCATCCACTAGGTTCAATCCTGCTTTCAGGCGGGTCAGGAAAAATGCTAAACACTTCATTAAAAAAATCTGTAGAAATGTTCCTCACCACATGGGACAGCCTTTTATACTATTAAACAGAATATTTAATATTCCATTACAAAGTATTTGCTTTTGGATGATTCTCCCAAGTCTTGAGCTACCTCAAGGGCATGACAGTGATGGCCTGACAACGTGATCCTTCAACAAAGGAAGAGGCGAGGCTGCCCCAAAGTTCCTGCTTTTACATTCAGAACCACAGGAAGCAAATTTCTGGCAGTTTCAGATAGTCATTTTGCACTAGCTTCCAGGCATTGAATATTCAGAAATATTGAAACTAGTCTCAGGGCAGCAATCAAGAATTATTAAACAGACATTTGTGACTGGGTTTTTTAAATGCTATTTTCATTTTACTGAGCAGAAAGATGGGCCAGACCTCTCAACTCAGTTTCTCAGTGAGTTTTCCACAAATATATCCAGCTAAGGAGAAGAAACCAAAGTGTAGGTAGGAAGTAAGCTCAGGTTGGCATCCAAGAAAATAGAACAATAGGGTGAGTGAAGGGTGGATAAGATTGGGGTTATAATCTTCAAATCCTGAACTTGCCAATTGAAATAGAGAGATATGAATGTATACGTATTCTTTTGCCCAGTCATGACCATAAAGGGAATCCAGCAAGACTCAACCGTGTCTTGTGCTCAGCAGTATTACTTCTCTTCTAGACACACTTTGGGCTGACCTCACCTCTTTAGAAAGGTATTTCTTACCTAATGCCACAAGGCTTTCCCTGCCACATCATAATTTTGCAACTCATTCTGAGGCTTAGAAATAATTAAGAAGTTGACGTTCTGTGATTCTGCCTTCTGTCAAGACCC